TAACTCCCCTGCACTTTCTACACTCCTCCAGGGCTCCTGCTGTTTTCGTCGATGTTCATAGTACAGAAAAAGGCTATTCAGCCCATTGTGTCTGTGCTGGAGAACTAATATCCAACGATCCTTTTCCCATTCTCCAGCTCTTGGCCCACAGCCCTGGAGGCTACAGCAGCAGCAGTGAATATCTAAACACTGCTTCAATGTTACCAGAGTCTGTGACTCAACCAGCCTTTCAGGTAGTCCATTCCAGACTCCCACTGCCCTCTAGCTGAAAACATTTCTCCTCAACTCTCCTCTTCACCTTCTACCTCTGACCTTCAATTTAGGCCCTTGGATACTGACCCCTCTAAGACCTTAGGCCATAAGAAATAGAGACAGGAGTAGGCCATTCAGCACCTTGATCCTGCTCTGCCATTTGATAGGACCATGGCTGATCTGACAATCCTCTCGTCCACTTTCCTGTCCTTTCCCCTCAACCCTTGATTCGCTGACTCATCAAGAATCTATCACTCTCAGCCTTAAATATTCAAAAGGGTTCTGCCCCCATCCCTCAGTGTGGCAAGGGCTCCCAAAGATTCACAACCCTCTGAGAGAAGAAATTCATCCTCATCTCAGTCTTAAATTGGTGCCTCTTTATTCTGAGACGATGCTCTCTGGTGCGTGACTCACCCATGAGGAGAAACATCCTCACAGCATTTACTCTGTCAAGCCCCTTAGGAATCCTTTATTTTTCAATCTGATCACCTCTCATTCTTCTAAACTCCAGTGATCAGATTCCAAACCTATTTGACCTTTGTTCATAAGACAGCCCCTCTATCCCAGGGATGATCCCAGTGAACCTTCTCTGATCTGTCCCCATTGAAATGATGGCTTTTATTAAATAAAGGGACCAAATCTGCTCACGCTCCTCCAGATATGGTCTCACCAGCACCTTATCCAGTTACAGTAAGACTTCCCTACTCTTATATTCCAAGCCCCTTGAAATAAGGGCCAACATTCCATGAGCCTTCCTGATTCCATGCTGTTCCTGTGTGTGAGCTTTCTGTGTTTTGTGCACTTTCATGTTGCAGCTCTCTGCACTTTTCCTCCATTTAAATAATACTTGGTTCTTTTGTTCTCCCTTCCAAAATGAACAACTTCACATTTCCTACATCATACTCCATTTGCCTTTTTGAAGCTTACCTAACCTATCAATATCTCATTGTAAGCTGTTCATATCGCTCTCACAACTTGTCTTTCTGCCTATTTTTATGTCATCTGCAAATTTGGCTGCAGTATATTTGCTTCCTTCCTCCAAGTCATTAATGTATATTGTAAACATTTGTGGCCCCAGCACTAATCCCTGTGGAAACCCACTGGCTACAGGTCACCAACCTGAAAACTAACCCCTTATCCCCAATCGCTGTTTCCTGACCATTTGCCAATTCTCCATCCATGCCAACATACCACTCTCACTATTTCCTTTGTGAAACACTCCCACTGCCCTGAACGTGCAGTAACTACTGTCTCCGTTGTTTGTAAAACATTGATCAAACTCAGCCTTGAAGATATTCAATGAGCAGCCTCCAGTGCTCTCTGGGGAAAGGAGCCCCACAGGCTAACAGCCCTCAAAGAGAAGAAAAAACTCCTCATTTCTAGCTTCAACGGATGCCTCTCATTCTTGATCTGTGTCACCCAGTTCCCACTGCCCCCACAAGAGGAAACAATCTCCTGGATCCACCCATGATTATTGTTATGAAAATAATTGAGGCCGAACACATATGTTTGTGGAACACCACTGGTCACATCCTGCCAATTTCAGTACCTACCCACTATCCCTCTTTCTGTCGTCTGCCTCTCAACCAATTTCCCAGCCATGTCAGTAATTTACCATCAACTTATCAAATGCCTTCTGAAAGTCCATATAAACAGTATCCACAGACATTACTCTGTCCAGTACTCTCGTCAGTTCTTCAAAAGTGAGAGTGACATGTGCAATTTTCAAATCCAGAAGGATGTTCCCGTGTCTAGGGAACTCTGCAAGATTATCGTTAGAGCGTTTCGATGGAAACTGTCAGGTCCTGGGATTTGTCACTCCTTAATTACATTAATTTCCTCATTACCAATGTTTTACTGACATTAACTTTATTCAGTCTCTGTCCCTGATCCTCTGTTAGTTCCTTTGGGACTTCAGGCAGGCCCTCCTCCTTTTCTACAGTAAATCCTGAGGAAAAGTAATTATTTAACATGTCCGTCGTTTCCCCACAGTCACTGACAATATCCCCCACTTTCAGTCTTTAGTGGCTAACATTGCTCCTGACCTCCCAGTTTCCCCTTGATGGAACGAGAACATTTGTTCTGATTGATTTTGACATCCCTTGCACGTTCCTTTCAGAATCCCGTTTGGTGGCTCTTAGAAGCTGCTTTGGCACTTTGTATCTTTCCCATTCAGCAGGATCTGTGTTGTTCTTCCTGTATTTTTGTAAGCCCTTTCTTTCAGTTTTATTCTTTTCTTTATGTCTTTAATTGTCCATTGTTGTTTGTTCTATGAAATGGAGCTATTCCCTCTTAGGGTATAAACTGGTTTTATTTTGTGTTAAATGTTTCTTTAAACATCTTCCACTGTTCTCCAGTTGTTTTACCCATCAGCAGATTTTCCCAGTTTACTGTGGACAGTCTTCATGTCATCGCGTTAAAGTCAGTCTAACCTAAATTTGAAACATTAGCAGCTGATTCATGCTTTTCACTTTCAAACGCGACATGGAACTCGATCGTGTTATGATCACTGTTTAAGAAATGTTCATGAACAATTAGTTTACTAATTAAATCCAGCTCATTACTCATTACTAAATCCAATATTGACTGTCCCCTTGTTGCATCCAGGACATAATGCTGCAAGAAACTATCTCGGACACTCTCCAGAAATTCACTCCCTTTCTGACAAGGTGTTTGCCTGCCTCTCCCAATCTAAGTTAAAGTTAAAATTACCCATTAATACTGCACTAGCTTTGCTACACACTGTCTAATTTCTGCACTGAAACAATTTAGCACCTCACAGCTGCTGTCAGAGGGTCTGTACACAACACCGATTACAGTTTTAGGTCCTTTCCTGCTCCTCAGTTCCACTGAATGCTTTCCCCTCATTTTATCCTCCCTCACCATTGAACTCATTTTGTTTCTAATCAGAGACAAAAAAAACTGCAGATGCTGGAATCCAAGGGAGACAAACAGGAGGCTGGAAGAACACAGCATCAGATACTGCCTGGCCTGCTGTGTTCTTCCAGCGTCCTGTTTGCCTCCCTTGTTTATAATCAGTAAGGCTGCTCCACCTCTTGTGCCCTTTGCCCCTGTCTGTCCTGTAATCCTTATAACCTGGGATATTTAGTTCCCAATCCCAACCATCCTGCGGCCATGTCTCAGTCATGGCTACTTCATCACAATCTTCAATTTGAATTTGTGCCTGCAGTTTATTTAATTTATTCTTGACACCCCATACATTCGTATATAGAACTCTTATTTGGGCCATTCACTGGAACCTGTTCCTCAGCACTGATGCTGTATTCACCTGTTCATTGTTTCTCTCTTTCAGTTTAATCAATACACTTCTGATTGCTTTGTGATTATCTGCTGGATCTGAAGTCAGATTCCTGACAGTTTCTTCACTCGCTGTCATGTTTCTTGATATTAAAACTGTATTGACTTGCCCCACCACCCAGCTTTTACTGGTTTAAAGTCTTTGTGCCCACCCTACTTAGCCTTTCCACAGGGACATTGGTCACAGATCAGTTCAGGTGGAGCCTGAACCAATGGTACAGGTCCTTCCTGTCCCAATACTGATTCCAGTGCCCCACAAAATGGAACCTCTCTTTCCGACACCACTCCTTCAGCCATGCATTCATTTCCTGAATTTTATGACTTCTTTGCCAATTTGGATGTATTTTAGTTAACATTCCAGAGATTATAACCTTTGAGGTCCTGTTCTTTAATTTTTCTCCTAATTCCTGACATTCCCCAAACAGGACGCTTGCCTATCCTTGCCGATGATGTTGATCCCAACATGGACCACAACAGCTGGATCCTCCTCCCACTCCGATATCCTTTCAAGCCAGTTCGAGATGTCCCTTACCTTGGCACCAGGCAGGCAACACATCATGTGGGACTCCCAATCCTGCTCGCAAAGGATGCTATCAGTCTCCCTCATTATTGAATCCCCCTCTTTTCTTAGTGCTCTCCTTGACTGAATGGCCTCCTGGTCCACGGTGCAGTGGTCAGTTTGTCCATCTTCCCTACAGTCCTTTTCCTAATCCACACAAGGAGCAAGTAGCTCCTTCCTGTTGGGCAAGGTCAAGAACTGAGGCTCCTGCAATGATAAATTCAGGATGCATCACCCTACCTCACTTGTAGTCACACCCTCCTGTCCCTGACCACTGGCCAGAATTTGAAGGATTTAACCTACAGAGTGTGACTGCCTCCTGAAACACAGTGACCAGGTAACTCTCCCCCTCCCTGATGTGTCGCAGTGTTTGAAGCTCAGACTCCAGCTCATTAACTCTGAGCTGGAGAGCCTTGAGCAACCAGCACTTGCTGCAGATGTGGTCACTCTGAGCTACAATGGCATCTCCCAGGTTCCACATCATGCAGTTACTGCACATTGCCTGGCCCTGTATCTGCAAATTATTTAACAAGGTTTTAATTTGTAATTTTAAATTTCTTGTTGGTCTTTCATTTTAAATCTGTAAAATATTTCAGTGAAGGAGACAGAGAAGGCTCCAGCACAGGAGGAGGCTGTTCTGCCCCTTGTGTCAGTGCTAGCTGTTTACCAACCTCATTCACAATGAACATCTCTGGTGAATCTGTTTTTAGGAACAGAATGACTGACAAATATGAGCTGATCACAAAGAGTCAGCATGGATTTAAAAAGTGTCAGACATCTGTGCTGAGACCTGAGCTTTTCACGATAATTCTCAATGAGTTGGATGAAGGAATAGAGAGCCATATATCCAAGATTGCTGACCACACTGAGTGAGGTGGCTTGGAGGAGGTTACAGAGATAGGGAGGGTGGGGGACAGGCAGGGGTTTGAGAACAAGGATGAGAATTTGATAATCGAGGTTTTGCTGGACCAGGAGCCAATGTAGATCTGTTAGCACAGTGGGGGCTGGAGGAAAGGGACTTGGTGTGAGTTTGGACATGGGCAGCAGAGTTTGGGATGAGCTGAAGTTTCCAGAGTGCGGTGGCTGTGATGTGGGCCTGGACAACATTGGAATGGTCACATCTGGAGTCACAAAGACACAGCTGAGATTTTCAGTGGCTAATCTTTGTGATGTGTAGGATGTGGGGCTCAGATCAGCCTCAAAGATGAGGCCAAGGTTGTAAAGAATCTGGTTGAGCAGCAGACAGTGCTCAGGGAGAGAAATGGAGTTTGTACCAGGAGCTGAAGAGGATGGCTTTGATCTTCCCAATGTGGTTCCCAGTGAGCGTGGCCCCTCAGTCCTGACTGCTCTTATCTGCTGTGATTGTCACTGATTGGACACATTATTAGAGATTCTGACCACAGCAGAAAGCCCCAGCGTAAAAAATAATGCAGAGCGCAAGGTTGAAACTTCACCAATAGAGGAAGTGAAAGAAGGAGCTCAGAGCAGCTGGATGTTTGTTACTGAGATGGGAGAAAACAGTGAACTCCCTGGAATCTAACAGCACAGGAGGAGACCATTCAGCTCATTGTGCTGTGAATGACCCTTTTAATCCCACTGCCCCCCTCTCGCCCATAACCCAGCAAATCTTCCCTTTTCAGCTCAACCTCCAATTCCCTCTTGTAGACCTGGGTCCACAGCATGAATCTGACGTTTGTTACCGAGATGGGAGAAAACTGTGAAACATCTGCACTCCCTGGAATCTTACAGCACAGGAGGCGGCCATTCATCCCATCAACCTGTGAATGACCCTATTGGTCTCACTGACCATCTCTTTCCCCCTAATGCAGCAAAGCCTTTTTTCAGCTCGATTTCCAATTCCCTCTTGTCGACTTGGGTCCACAGCACGAGACTGCCCGTAACCTGGGATCCAAAGTGACATCTCATTCATTCTTTGGGAGACAAACTGCCTGGGCTGGGAAATGGAGCTCAGGACCCTGAACATTCCTGCTCCCATCCTGAGGGGCACTTCATGCTGGGGAAAAGTTCCATGGAGCCCGACAGTACATTCCTACCTGACACACTTCCCCATTTTGTCTCTGATCTCACTGACCCCAGCAGCAGCAGCAACAGCACAGTGAGACACCGAGCTCCCACCTCCCCCAGCTTTAACTCTGCTCAATCACACACTCACTGAATTGTTACAGTGCACAGGGAGGCCATTCCACCCATCCTGTCTGGGCCAGCTCTCCGAATGAGCAATTCACTGAGTGTCATTCTCCTGCCTTCTCCCTGTCACCCTGCACATTGTTCCTTTTCAAATAACAGCCTCATTTCCTCAGAATTCCAGTAGTGAGGTGAGAATGACAGCCCTTGATATCTTTACCGCATTCGAACGCATGTGGCATCAAGGAGCCCGAATTGGAATCAGTGGGTTTCGGGGCAAACTCTCCGCTGGTAAGAGTCAATCCTGGCACATAGGAAGATGGTTGTTGGAGGTCTGTCAACTCAGCTGCAGGACATCTCTGCAGAAGTTCCTCAGGGTGGTGTCTTCAACCCATCCACTTTCAGCTGCTTTATCAATGACCTTGTCTCCAACATAAGGTCAGAAATGGGGTTGTTTGCAAATGATTGCACAATGTTCAGCATCATTCATGGCTCCTCAGATACTGAAGTAGTCTATGTCCTAAAACAGCAAGACCTGGACAATATTCAGGCATAGCCTGACAAGTGGCAAATAACATTCACACCACATAAATGCCACGTAATGACCATCTCGATCAAGACAGAATTTAACCCCCATTTCTTGAAATTCAGTGGCATTACTGTCACTGGATCCCTCACTAACAAAATTCTAGCTGTTAACAGAAACCTAGATGAACTCACCAAATAGTTCGAATGGCTACATGAGAATGTCAGAGGTTTGGAATCCTGCAGTGAATATCTCACCCACACCCCACTCCACAAAACTCTTAATGTACAAGTCAAGAGTGTGATGGAATACTCCCCACTTGCCTGGATGGGTGCTGTTGCAACAACATTCAAGAAACTTGACACTATCCAGGACAAAGCAGCCACGTCATTAGCACTCTATCCACAAACATCCACTCCCCCCAC